CATTCCTTGTCATGAAAGAAATCCTAGACTTCGAAATAATAGTTTTCCAAAGTAACATATTACAGTCATGTCAATTTTAATCATGTCTAATTAATTCTTAATATCATAGAATTTTTTCATAAAAAATAATATGTTATTTCTTCAAAGCTTGGCTTTTAGATTTCAAATTAATAATAAATTCATTTGATTCATATAATGCATCAATCAAATTATTATAATTAAGAAATTCATTTAACTTATTATTGTGGTTGTTCATAAAGTTGATGCAAAATATATTTGGCATAGACTAATTACTAGATTTATGAATACTAGTAGAATATGACACTCTTACATTTTGTTATATTTTTATTATTAATTTTTAATTAAATTCAAAGAAAATTGTCGGCATTGATTTTTGAAGTCAAAAATGTCATATGCCTCTGAGAAGTTGTGGGAGAGTGTGGCGCTCACGCGTGCCCTTCCGTAGCTCAAGGAGTCTGTTGGGAAGTTACTAAATGTGCACCGTCTCCAAACTAGGGTCACTTTGTCCTTGTCGTGCCTGATAGTGAATACTTCTAATCTGTGATGGTTTCCCACTCAAGGGTAAGCCGAACAACCATTCTATGGCCTGTGTGGTCTCTTCCGTTCATCAAGAGCTTTTTGTGTCATGAAATGCGCTTAACGGACCCCGGAGTGAAAAAATTACCTATAAGGGTCGGGTGTGGCCATGCCTAACCCATCCTCACAAGGGTTGAGAGAGTTGCCTGTAGCATAACCACACTCGAATGCGGCGTGACCACGCCGCAAGACAGAGCCCACATCATAATTGCGTCGTTGGACAACATGACCACACCAAACTTCCCAGTAGTTGCATGAAGGATGCATTTCACATTGTCACGCCCAAAGGTGGCATGACAACACCTCAAGACAAAAGGTCCGTCGCAATTACAACAAGGAGTCGACATGACCACGCCAACCACGCGACAAATGGCATGACCATGCCAGAGCCCAACGTGACTACGACGAATCACACAGATATCAAAATTTGGTTCGTCGACTCTAGGGAGGCATGCCATGTACAGCTGCATTTTCCAGCCCTCCTTGTACTTGAGAAGAACACCTTGAAATTATGAAAAGGCTGGGGGGATTAACCCTTTTTGGCATGTCCTAAGTGCCCTTGATTATCCATTTTCGGCTTAATTAAGGGGAAAATTGGGGATTTTACATGGGGAGGCTGATTTAAGCTTCCTCTCTTCCTCTTTTCACCCATCTCCTCCTCATTTTCAGTTTTGGGCTGGTTAGGAGAGCTAGGGAGTAGACATGAGAGAGCTTCATCTTCCTCTTGGAGATTTTGGAGGTGCCTTAAAGAGAATCTCTCAGGTTAAAATTATTTGAGGAAGACTCTTCATCTTCCTCCAGAAGAGAGCTAAAGAATTGTTCTCTTTCTTCTCCTTCTTCCTTCATTTTCTTCCTCTTCTTCCATCCTTACATTTGAGTGTGTAAGGAGAGTTTTTTTGTGGAAGAGCTTAGCTAGCAATGGAGCAAGGTGCCTACTCTTCTACACTAAGGGAGAGCTTCATTATCTAACCCTGGGACTAGATTTTGCTAAGTGTTGTGGCTTTAGTCGCACACACGAGGCAAGTTGGTCATCTAAAACTAATCAACACGGCCAAACGCCTTTGGATTAGTCATTTATTTTCTAAAGAAAGCCCTAGGTTAGGAAGCTTGCCTTGAATACATTCCTAGCAAATCCGAAAGATTCCCTTGTGAACCCTCAGATCTACACTTAAGTGGGTCGAAATTCTAACTTCCCCTTGCTTTGGCATTTCTAACCCTCCTTATAAAGGTTAAGATATTCAGATTTTGTAAAGTGAGAAAAGATTTGTAGCTACTCCATGCCACAACATTGTGGAGTGTTTCCTTTTGGAATTTGAATGTCAAGTTCCCCACATGTCTCGCCAATGTAGGAGGCGGCTATGTTGCATATACATGTGCTAAAGCCTAAGTGCCTATGCGAGATCATCAGATGAGTGTGGCTCGCCATCGATTGTGATCATTCACATTGCATGATGTATTGTATCACGATATGTGCCTTGTGTGAACCATATCGCACTAGCATATTGCCGCGATCGGTCACTCCAGCCCAGTCGGCATAACACATCGCCTCACTCTATTGCCCTGGCCTAATCAACATAGTACATTGCCTCGACCAGCCGCCCAGCCTGGTCGGCATAGCACATCGCCTTGATCGGTCCCCTGTCCTAATCTGCATAGCACATTGGTCTAACCGACCGCCCCAACCCGGTCGACTAATTCCCTCTGTCTAGTCGGCCACCTTAGCCCAACTGAGCCCGTTGGATATGTTGTCTCGGGTTGACCACCCCGGTCACCCAGCAAGTCGAACATCCAATTTCACATGTATGGTGTTTGTTTTACATGGTTTGCATCACCCATGGTTTGCCCTCATATGTCCATATCGATTAATTGCGCCTCCCATGGGTATGCTACTCCGCATGTTTGCTCTGTGACATCTCTGTGCCATGGTGCCCCACGTTATTCACGTTTTCACTTGCACTAGTGTACTCTTACATGTCCACTTTGCATGTCACCTTGCATGCCCATAGACCTGCATATTTGAGTCTTGCTTGGGTCACTCTTCTTGCATACCCGCCCCGGACACCCATGTGTCTGTATCAGGGATGGCTTGCGTATCAAGTCCCCCCGATGCATAATTCTCTCTGACAATAATTGCTCCACTTCTTTCCTATGGCACCACATTGAATTGTCATATGATTTCCCCCATAGTCACTGCACCTCGTGCACACTCATATTTTTAGGTCAATGCCTCCATGGTATACTCATCCTTTGGGTCGTTGTATCCACGACACGTCGTCCCTTTCGAGTCACTGCCTCTATGACACACCCATTCCTTTCGATTGCTACCTCCACAACCCGCCCACAATTTCGGGTCAGCGCCTTTGCGACTCCACGACCCTTTCAGGTCATTGCCTCCACGACACGCCTACCCTTTCAGGTCATTGCCTCCACGACACGCCCACCATTTTGGGTCTCTGCCTCCACGACACACCCATCCTTTGTGTCATTGTCTCCACGACATGCTCACCCTTTCGGGTCTCTACCTCTATGACACACTCATGTTTTGGGTCGTTGTCTTCACGGCATACCCACCCTTTTAAGACATCGCCTTCGCGACACACACATTTCTTTGGGTTGTTGTTTCCATGGCATGCCCTCCCTTTCGGGTCACTGCTTCCACAACACACTCATTCTTTGGGTTGATGATTCTATCGTACGCCCACCATTTTGGATCATTGCCTCCACGACACACCCATTCTTTGGGTCGCTGCCTCCACGACACACCCACCCATTCGTTTCACTGTCTTCACGGCACACCCAAAATTTTGAAACACTGCCCTCACGACACACTCACCGTCACCACTCTTGTGTATGATTGTTTACATTTGCATTTGCATGCATTCTTATATAGCAAATCATGCTCAATAGACGAGTAACCCTGTGTTTGTCGTGATTGCTTAACGAACATTGTTTATCAAGTCGATCATGGCGAGTAATGCACAAATATGATTGTGCTTAGAGCCAAAGGAATCTAACTCATGTCACATTACATTTTAATACTACTAATCAAATATATATATATATATATATATATATATATATCTAGTCTAGTTACATTTGCCATAATTTTTAGATTATGTAAAGCTAACTCTTTTTAAAATTCAACTTGGGCGACACCTTTTAAATCCCTTGGATCTTTAGAGCTAGGCCGGTGTGGCAACCCCGTCAAAGTTATACATACTCGGAAAATTACTCTGAGCACTTTGATGCTAGTTAGGACAGCTTCTCTTTAGATGGTGTGATAGGCTAACATATGTTGATGAATGTGTTAGCCATGTGAGCTCATGTTGTCAACAATATTATTGGATGGCTTTATCGATGCCATCGTATAGATCTAGAACAAACAACTTGGACAAATACAAAAATTGAGCTTCCGCAATACGCATAAACAAATCACATGCATGCTAGGCTTGGCGCTGCTTATAATAATGAAATGAGCAATTTAAAAAATTAGCCAATATAAATATAGTGGCAACCAACACTAATCCATTTATACTTTACATCGGCTCTACACAAGATACAATTCCAGTTCGTAACATTAACTGAGGAATGCTCATCTTTTAACGTTGTGCTATGATTTGAAATTATGCTTTTAATTTGAAACAAACCATCACCACTAATAAACACATTAGATTTCAGACGCTTACTGCCTTGAGAATAAGGATGTTTAAAACCTCCTTACCAGTTATTATTATTATTATTATTATTATTATTATTTTATTTTGTTACTATTTTATAAGAAATGATGAGCCTCAACATATACATGTTAATAAAATTAATGTAAATTAATACACTATATCAAGACTTCTAGTATCAAAGACATGAAAAATCAAAAAATAAAAAATTCAATTAGCAAAACAAGTTCCATGCACATATTTTTTAGCTAATCAAAAGCCTTATTTTTTAATTAACAATGCATTGGAAATAAATTACAATGCTTTATAGCAAAAAGGAAACGAAGATTTACATGGATACCACTTAATTAGTATGTATTTACATATCTAACACCTACAATTTAATTTTTACATGTATAAAATTTTTTGGATGAAAAGATGCTTCACTTTTTTAAAGTTAAAATGATGGTACTTTTTATGTGACATGAAAGATTTGAGTGGCAAGCATAAGATTTAGGTTTTAGATATGCAAATACAAAGGAATTGGGTGGCATGCATGCAAATACTCCAACAAGAACTTGAATATCTCAGTAAATGTTACAATCATCATTAAAGCCACCACATATTTTAACTCAGGATTAAAAAAAAACCATTCTAAAAATCCATTCAATCTCATATTAAATTTGCATATTGGAATCAACAAACAAATAAAGTTATGTGGCAAAGCACAAACGCATACAAACTTAGAAAAACCTTAAAAAAAAAAGTGAAAACAACAATAAAACAGACATTTTTCTCTCATCTGCAGCCACCACTTTCAAACACAAAATATACATTTTACAAAACATTCTATAAATTGCAATCAGCAATCTCTCTGTACTGTGCAACCAAATCCTTCACAAAAGAGTAAATAGTAATAATAATAAGCAATATGAAGCAAAAGATGTGCAAGTCTCGCTATCTGTTCCCGCCTTAAAAATTTCAAGCTCCCGAGGGCGTCAACAGAAGATGACAAAGGGAAGAATAATATACCATATAAGTAACTGTATAGGAGTAGTTGATGGGCACGTGCAGGGTGTAGCCGGGTTCTATAATGGGGCGTTGGGCTCAGGGAGCTTCAACGTAGATGACACAGATGACTGGAGGAAATTCATTGCCTTCCCAATATTCTCTTCTATAAGCTTCCCTATTTTTTTCTCAGTGCCTTCATTCGGCTGCTTCTTCTTCCACACCTGCTTGGCAGAGAAGATTAGGGTAAAATAATTTAGAAGATGATGCCTTACATATTTAGGGGGAATTTAGTGGTCAGAAAATGGAAGAACAGTTGACTTGTTATATATGGAGAGGTTCCTTGGCCTAATATATAGAGGAAACAATAAAGGAAAACGTAATCTAGGTTGAACTTAGAAGTCGAGAAAGGTGTACAAAAATGAAGGTTAAGAAAATTTGACAGGATGTGGAGGCAAGCAGAAGATGTTCAAAGTTCAATCACGATTGAAGTGAATGATGTAATAATTATTGAAATTATTTTAATATAATTTAATTTATATAATAATAGAACAGTAATTATTTTTATCAATTCAATTAAACAATTTTTTAATTTAAGGCACATCATTTTTTTGAATATTTTGAATAATATTCTAAATCAAAATATTGAAATATGATATTTTCTCTATTTTTAATTTAAATTCTTATTTGTAGTTATGAGATTAAAATCAAAAGACTAAAATTGGACAACAATAAAACCAACTGATTCTTTAAAAACTGGAACGATTTATCGGTTTGGCACTTCAACTCTGATTCAAACAGGTTCAATCCTGGTGCCAGCAGAAACCGTTTTGAGCTTGGACCAAACCAATCGAATGATTGATTCACAATTGAGCCAACCGAAATGGCCGAACTGGTTCGATTTCTAAGACTATAATAAATAGTACTCATTTTGGAATGAATAATAGAAATTTGTTTCCACCGCAGTTCAAGAGCATATAATGGAAATCAAGAATACAAGAGAAAATGAAACTACAAGTATTCGAGATTAGTTAGAAAAAAAACAAAGAAAGAAATCATCCAAAAACAAAATGAAGTGTAACCGCATAATAGGCCAAGAAGTTTTGAATCACAATACAAGTAGGCAACTTAAAGCTCATGCTAAGATGTGTTCTATTTGTTTTAATGATTATTGCAATTGAGAGCCCTTGCAAAAATTCTCTGGGGACCAGGTCAAGCCCAAGCCAGAGCCCAGCAGAGGGTTTGGAAATAGAGTTTTCAACTAGCAATAGATGGGACTTAATTAATATCTCATTGCCTGTTCATGCTAAGAAGTTACTGAAAGACTTGGTCAGCTTAGCAGGCATTTGATCAGCATTACCAGGCATGCTAGTTTTTCTAGGCATTGCTCTTAATACCAGTTCAGTAGTATCTTTGTTCTTGAAAAACCTAAACGGAGATTTCCCAAATCTGTTTTTTCATTATAAACATTATGATCTTTACTGGCTAAAATTACTTTTCAGCTGAATTTAATTTTGCTCAACCTATGGGTATGGGCAGTATACATTCGGTCTTTGCTTGCTTCACAGTTATAAATACAAACGCAAAACCCTTCTATTGCTGTTCCCTTTTGAAGGGAGAGCACGTTTCCCAAATATATACGATTTCCCTAGTAATCATTTCTATGCATTGGACTTAAGAGCAATGCCTAGAAAAACTACAGTCACTGGACATTAGCCTTCTTTATTTGTAATGATTGAACAGCAATAGTCTAATACCAGTCACTGGAAGTTAATTGAGCTCACAAAAAGACATTAAATACTGAATTCTAGTTATAAAACATTTGCTGAACCTTTTTACTCGTTCTACCTTATCACACTCACTATACATAACACTAGTCTAGATAATGTTCATTTTGGTAAATAGTAGATAAAATGAGATGATAGCAAATAAGATAAAAATATGTGCAACGTTGTCTATCAACGACAGTTAAAAAAACAAAAAAAAAAAAAAAAAAAAACCAAAAGAAGAGTAAAATGTGCAGAGGTATGAGAAGCTTGGGGAACACGAGATCTCGCGATCAGATGAAAAACTAAATTAACGGGAGAGATTAATTCTATCAAAACAAAAAACAATAAAATAACTAAATATATGATTAATTCACAATAGTTGACAACAAACTTCTATAATACCTCAATGAATTGACGAGTGAAGTGTGCTACAAACTGTGCCACCACATTAGCATCGCCAGCCCTTCTCATGCTTAGAACCTACAGATTCAACAACGAAAAAAAATGGGAAAGTCAGATAGAAATTCAAACTATGCTCAACCAAATAATAAAGCTTATATTACTTATAGATATAGAAAAAAATAACAGAAATGACCCAACCCCACTGCCTCCCGTTGTGAACTTGTAGAAACCAAAATAAGAATGAAAATAAATGAAAACTAGTCTAGCATTGTCCAGACTAGAAACTGTTGAAAGATTTAAGCTACTTAATGGCATCTTATCTCAGAAAGTTCTCAATCATAGCTTTTTAAAACCGCTGTATAATAAAATATATTAGTTGAGTCGAACAAAATGTTCTATTGCCATTTACTGGACTAAAGAATTTAAAAAATGCCACATGCTTTGTATGATGTGACATAGAAGCAACCAGAGTAAGTAGACTTAAACAATCATGCTGAGTTGTTGAGCATAAAGACGGAAATTATCAAAGACCCAGATGAAATCACACAGTTAAAAAGTTTTTAATAGCTCTGGGGCATATTTGAAATTTATAATCAGAGTGACGTGCTAAAAACATTTCATAATGTATGACTTTTCTGAAGCAGTTCAACGGGAACACAAGGTCCCCCACAAAAGATGGAGAGTTGTTAGGTTGGTAAAGATTTGGTACAAAAAAAAATCCACAGTTCGCCACTCAGATTTCTGGTGATACAATGACTTAATTATTAAGGGGCATTTACATACATACCACACAATTCTTATGAATTTACATATTTATCACTTAGACATTTATATTTATATGCACATCACTCAAATCATTAATATCATATCGAAAAGAACACCACCACTATCTTTTTAAAAGTGAAACACACATTTTCATGCATAAGTTTATGACACCAGGGCGTTATAATTGTAATATCAAACTTTGGATGTTAGATATGTAAATACAAAATACTTGTGTGGTACGCATGTAAATTTCCATTTTAATTAATATGAAATGAAGAATCAGCACAAAGTTCAATCAACCTCATTTAGCATCACTGACCAAATCGGTGATTCACTCTCATCTCATTATGTTACAGAAAACTTGGAAAAGCTGTCAAATGAAATCATCAGTGACAGCAATAGCAATAGACACTATTTAGAAAATTTTTGTTTGGTTGTACGAGCCTTTTTCGCCCATTAATATATGCTCAAACAGCACAGAATCTGCAATAATTATATAAATCACTTTGAACAACTCTTCAAACACTGAAGAGAATTCAATCATCAAATCAAAAGCTGTTATACACTAAACCGAAACAGCGATAGTTTATTCATTTACTCTCATAAAAACTATATGTTAAGATTAAAACAAATAAAATGACTTCACATCTGAGTCATCTTTATCAAATACAAAGATGCATGTTTATTCACATACCAAATCCATCTGCAAGTCTTCCCTTAGAATGCAAGTCCACCCTTTCCTAAAATCAGGATTCACTTACTCTAACAAACCAAATACTAGTTAGAGAAAACGTAAAAAATCATCAAACCTCTTTTGTACAGCTGCGTTCCACCCAAGAGCTCATGCCAGCTCAGGTCTCCCAATCTAAGGCAACATATAAATATGCTACAAAATCCTTTATTATGAGCCCGACGCTGGGGATTAACCAAGACGAAAACCGTCGGTCGGACGGTAAAAAACTAAATTTTCTATATTCATCTGCAATTTTAAAAAAAAATGAAACAACCACTAAACAAATTAAATAAAACAATATATATAAAATTACATCTTTACTAGTTGCCCGCATTTTCTATAAACATTATCTCTTCTAACGCTCATCATTAACACTTAATTAACCTGAAAAATTAGTTTAAAAAAACAATAAACTAAAAAAATCAATAAAAACATACACCTAAACTACAACAATGCAAGAAAAAACTAATATGCATGTCAGATAAACTTTTTAATAAATCAATATAAACAACTAACATATTATTCAATAAATCTTACTATATAAATAGCATACTAAAACCGTTTATATCTGTACAACCGTTAAGACAAATCAACTTCAATACTATTTTCCATTTACGGGCACAGGAACCTTAGTATTCCCCTACTAATACCATCAAGGAGGGACTCCATAATCATTAATAATTTCATATTACTCAACATATAATACTAGAATACATTAAATATTTTATAATATAAGATTATAAGCATTCGCATCGAAATAACCGATAAAATTCTATAATAAAAAAATCAATTGTAATAATCAAACATAAATAACAATCCATAAAATTGTCTTAGCAAAGATACCAAAATGATACTATAATTTAAGAATAAGAGTACTCACATTGATGACGATTAATTTGCACTTGAATTTGTCATCGTCGACCCTTCAAAATTAGAAAACTAACATAACCATGATAATTAATTAATTATTTATTTTAATAAATTATTACATTTTGCATTAAGTATTAGATTTACTATATCTAATCCAACTTAATTTCAATTTAATATATATATATATATATATCATCAATGTCATTATCATTATTATTAAATCACTTCAATAAACATTACACTCATAAAGCCGGGCGAGATCACTTTTGGTCAAGAAACGCGATTTCCGATCGACAGCTACTTCGACCTCAGCTCTCCCTAGCGCACAAGCTCATCTCTACTTCTGTCATTCATCTGCGCAAAGGATCACACTCTTCCATCGCTTATTCCTACTCAGTGCGACGGAGTCGCCGCTCTGCCCTAACCCTCGCAAACCTCCTCTTACGTAATTCCATCTGCACTGGTCTCCACCCTATCCCCCGATCAGTCGCCCGACACCAGCATAGGCCTTGATGCTGATCGACACCGATGCCGAGACCTCCTGCCTCTCCTCTCCTCCGCTCGATGGCATTACCTCCCGCACAAGACCGTGAAGCCTCTTACCTAGTCTCTACAGGTAAGTAAATTTCCCCCAATCGCATGCTTTGGTAGAGCGAACTCGCCTTCCCGGCTTCCGTCCCCTTGCTACCTCTCCCTTTTATTCGGTGTACCTGACTCCTCGTTTCTTATCCCAAGGTAAGTGAAACCGGAAATTACATGAAGCTGCTAACCTTAGAGTAACCCTCGATGGCCACCTAAAATCAAATGTTTGAAATAGACCAAGCTCAGTAAGTGTTCTGCATTTACTTAAATTATTTCCATCTATAAGCAATGGCAGAGCTAAGACTTCGTCTCAGAGGGAGCATAAATTAATGATTTTAAAAATTATAATCAATGATATCATGTTAACTTCTTTTACATTATTTTTAAAGAAATTCAACTTATCAAACACATAACCCGTTAACCCACTAACGGAACTATTTTTAATAATAAAATTTGCTAAAAAACTAGAAATTATTTTGCTTGTTAATCAAAGCCATGACCCAAAGTTAGTGTTATTTAAGAAGTACATTAGCGAGTTTAACTGATAAGCAAATCTTTCAAGAAAAATGCAGCCCTTAAAGTAATAAATTAAAAGTAGATATCTAAAAAACGAGTAGAAAAATGATTGGAAAAATGCCAAGGTTTGTGTGTTGAAAAGAAGATTATTAGATCATGTATAGCAATTTGATTGAGTTTTGTTTTACATGACAAAGTTCATCTGTGAGGGTAATAAGGATGATGAACAAGAAGTCCTATTGACATTTCAGTTGAATATTAACTTAACAAAAACCATTTTTTAGATTTTTTAGTTTTTTTTTTTTTTATTATTCATTACAAATGTGGTGGATTTTGACACTAAAAGCTAAGATGAGATAGCCAAGTAATTTTAACCAAAAAAACTTGGAAGGATGAAAAGTGTACCTATGACAAAGATAGAGCAGGCTCCAGGTCAATACAGAATTCTAACTTCAAAGACAACTAAAAGCTAAAATGAGACCAATTTTAACCAAAAAATCTTGGAAGGATGAAGGAGTACCTATGACATGACAAAGATACAGCAGGCTCCAGGCCAATACAGAATTCAAACTTTAAATGTCTTTTTGCTATTTCTTTAGGGTTTATATATATAACAAGAGAGCAAAGTAAACTAAACACCGTAGCTTGCTGGCAGCAAATCAGGAAGCGGTTGTTGTGGCCTTAAGAAACTGTGGGACTGCAGAATTGTTGGACTACGACTGATGATCTACAGGCTTTAGGATGGTGCAAAGGCACGATTTGGACTATTGTTTACGGTTTTATTACCCAAAAAAAAAAATAAAAGCCAATCATAAATTTCTTTTACTGGACTGGGCCAGTAGGAGCCTAAGCCCCAGTGCCCGCACTGTAGCTTCACCCATATTTATATGCCGTGGGGCAATTTATTTTGAGATGCATCGATGATTTAAATTTGAATAACCGAATTGACCATGCTCTATGTCTCCAATAAAACATAACATGAATTAGTCAAGCACAGTACATTGAAATTCAAACAATTAGATAAGAGTATCTTTGATACTCACATCTAGAGTAGTCCTCTTTGGACAATTCGATTTGGATCTCTGAATTTTAGCCCCCCAAAAAAGGGTTAGCACCCTTAAGCATGTCATCACATCGATCTAATTGTGATATGTGATGAGAGTGAACCCATGAATGGAAGCCCTTTCTGTAATTAGCAAATTAGGCTCAATAAAACCTTAATCATTGGGGTTTGTGCCCATAGAAAACCCTAATTCCCCATATCTAGTATAAAGTTGAGAAGGTTCACATTGTTGCCAAGAGAAAACATATGAAAAAATGAAAAATCTACTTCTTCAAAAAAATACAATCTACTCAACATTTAATCCCAAAACTCCAAAAATCTCATTTTCCACCCTCATATACATGATAAAAATTTTGCCAAGGGCTCTATTGGTTCCTCCAAAACCCGGGCTTGGAATTCACCAAGAAAGGAATATAAAGGATTTAATCAGGCAGCTGTTGGTGCCTTTGGGGATCAATGACCACTCGGTGTTTGTGTAACGGGCTAGGCGAGTAGAGATTAATTTTCAGGTTATTTAGAAGCATAAGGAGATGCACAAGAGAAAGCGTC